CCTCGCGTGGCTGAGCCTGCCGGGCCCGCAGGAGCTGCTGAGGCTGGTGCGGCCGCCCTACTCGTACTCGGCGCTGATCGCCATGGCCATCCAGAGCGCGCCGCGGCGGAGGCTGACGCTCAGCCAGATCTACCAGTACGTGGCCGGCAACTTCCCCTTCTACAAGCGCAGCAAGGCGGGCTGGCAGAACTCCATCCGCCACAACCTGTCGCTCAACGACTGCTTCAAGAAGGTGCCCCGCGACGAGGACGACCCAGGTGAGGGCGGCCGGCAGGTGCTTCCCGGTCGGGAGCGGGGTTCGTGTGCGGCTGGCTTGACGCCCTGCGAGGAGACTTCCCAGTCCTAGCGAGGGTGGGGCAGGTGGAGGAACCACCACCCCGACCTAGTCTGATGGGGGCGGGGGGAGCCCCGAGGACAAAGAGAAGTATCAGGGGTCTGCGGAGGGAGGACAGGTGAGGGACGAGCTCGTCCCCCACATCCACGCACCCACACGCGCAGAGGCTGGCCAGGTGGAGAAAAAGAAAAAAGTTCGAATCCTCCAACATGAGGCTACCCCTGGGTGGCGTTCAGCCATTTAAAAGGAGGGTCTAGTTAGAGGGAAGGAGATCAGGAGTTAGAACGCCGGTGTGTTCTCAGGTAAGGGATGGTTGTACAGGGCTTCAGGTGACCTGAGAGTCGCATCACGTTTCGCAGGAGAGGCGTGCGAGAACAGCGGGCGGTCGGGCGGTCCGCAGGTGCGCTTGCTCCTCCGGCACATTCCTGAGAGTCTCCTGGTGTCCTTAGTGGAGCACGTACCGCGCCTACCTTGAGAGAGAGGATCTGACCGAGTTAATTTGACTATAGAGGCACGGACATCGTGAGACAGGGCAGAGGGATGGGAGAACTTGAGCTGGGTCCTGCACATTGTGGTTTTGACACCTTGCTTAACTAGCTAGAAATTTAGCAGTGAATACTCCGAATTTGCTTCGTTCTGATCTAAACCCAGTAACTCCTGGAGTGGTGAGGTTAGAGGGAGAGTGGAGAGGGTGTTCTCTCTTACGCGACTCTGCGAGGTGGAGAAAAGCTTAAAAACAAGAGGGACCCAGAATCCTACTTGAAGGTTTAGAAGTCCAGGACAAGGGAAGGGGGGAGGGGGTCGCGGTAAGGAAAAAGAGAAGACAAATCAAGCCATCTTAGTGGCACACTTCAGAGATCCAGGGTTTTATGTAAATTACGTAAGTACTCTGGAGCTCAGAGTGAATTCATCCCTGAAGTCACTCCAGAGCAGCACTTTCCAATAGAAATACAGCGCAAACCACATGTGATGGTAAACTTTTTGGTAGCTATATTAAAAAAGTAAAAAGAAACCGGTAGCATTATTTTTCATATTTTTAATTAATCCAAAATATTGTTTTGACATATAACATAAAAATTATTAGTGAAATTCCTTACCTTATTTTATTGATTCTAAGTCTTCAAAATCCTGTGTGTATTTTCTGGCACGTCTCAATGTGGACTAGCCACCGCATTTCAAATGCCCAGTAGCCATGCATGGCTAGTAGTTGCTGTATTGGACAGGGCATCTTCCTGATTTGGCCTCTTATCATCCAAGGTTATCGTGTAAATTGCCATATAAACTCCTGGAATTTACCCTAAAAGTTCAAGGATCTATGGCTAGTGTCATGTCAAAGCAGTTGAAACCAAGGTGGCACAATATAACTATCTAGATATGTGCAGCTATTAGTATTTAAATGGTAGTTACGTAATTTTTCCTTGCAACTATTTGCAAAAAATATTTCAGTGGAGACAGTAGGTGCAGGGCAGTGCATGCTAGTTTGTGGAGGCTGCCTAACACCGTGGTTACTTAAGAATGTCGACTCTGGAGCCAGCTTGCTTAAATCCTGGCTCTACCGTGGCCAGCTGGGAATAGGACAAGTTACTAACCGATCTGCACCTCAGTTTCACCACCTGAAAAGTGGGGGCAGTAATATTGCCTATCTTCCTAGAGCTGTGAAGAGTAAATGAGATTATCCATGTAAAGCATTCACTCTAAGTTAAGTGCTTAACAGTACTTTCAAACATCAAAGATTCTTTTATCTAGAAATCAGAAAAGCTGTTGGGAGATAAAATCCTCCGAGATGATAGATCTCTTCTACCTTGTCGTAGATAGTGAGGGAAATTTCCTAAGCAGAAGACTAGTAAAGCATTCACTCTAAGTTAAGTGCTTAACAGTACTTTCAAACATCAAAGATTCTTTTATCTAGAAATCAGAAAAGCTGTTGGGAGATAAAATCCTCCAAGATGATAGATCTCTTCTACCTTGTCGTAGATAGTGAGGGAAATTTCCTAAGCAGAAGACTAACATTACATGGATTAAGCAAGGCCCTGGTGTCCGACATCTGCCCAGTCTGCAGGGCCTGCCCACGATGAGCAGGGCATGTAGAGGAGCTCCCTTGTACTACGAATAAAGTCCATCCAATGTGTCGTGAAAACAAGTGATTGCTCAGTAATAATTTTTGTCGTTTTGAGGTTGCCTTTTCCCAGTGGGGAATTTCTTTCAGGAATGGGGAGTTGTACACTTTCAATGGATAATAACTTTAATAAGTACTGTTTTTTCACGGCTTACTCTGCCAGCTCCTGTGCTGAAAAATCATTTAATCCTCATAGTCAACCTACTAGATGGGTCCTACTCTTTTCTTTTTTTTCTTTTTTACGGCGGCTGGCTGTATGGGGATCTGAACTCTAGATAGGTACTATTCTTATCCCTGTTTTATAAATACAGAAATGGAGACTGACGTTCAAGTAACACCAGAATTCCATGATTCTGCAAGGCCATAGAATTTTGATCCAGAGTAAGGGAAGGTGTTGGGCCATTTAATTATAAGAGCCTCGGAAATAGAATTAAGATTTGAGTAAGCAGACACTGCCAGGAGAGGGTGGAAGTGGCCAGTGGAACATCTTTGTTCCAGATTTCTTCTCGAAGCGAAGAGTAGAGTCTCCTCTAAGAGAGGATAAGTGTAAACAGTAGAGTTGGATTGAGCACCATTGTCAGGATATAATGAGTCTCCTCTCCTCCTCCTAGAACTGAAGCTGAGTATACCAGCATAAAGTAGGTCCTTCCCTAACTCTTCTTTCTCCTGTCTTCAGGGAAAGGTAATTACTGGACTCTGGATCCAAATTGTGAGAAAATGTTTGACAATGGGAACTTCCGACGGAAGAGAAAGCGCCGCTCTGAGGCCAGCAGCAGCTCCACAGTGGCTGCAGGGACATCAAAGTCGGAAGAAGGGCTGTCCTCAGGATTAGGGTCTGGAGTGGGCGGGAAGCCAGAAGGAGACAGCCCCTCCTCCTTGCTGAGGCCTGCCCAGTCCCCAGAGCCTCCTGAGGGCACCAAGAGTACTGCCTCATCTCCTGGAGGATCCGTGCTCACCTCCACCCCTTGCCTCAACACTTTCTTCAGCAGCCTCAGCACCTTAAGTGTCAGCAGCAGCGGGAGCACCCAGCGAGCTCTCCCTGGCAGCCGCCACCTAGGGATCCAGGGGACCCAGCTGCCCTCCAGCACATTCCCCCCCAGCTCCATCTCAGAGGCCTCACCAGACACCTTGCAGCTGAGTAACAGCAGCGGCAATAGCAGCAGCCAGAGATCTTCCTATTACAGCCCTTTCCCTGCCACCACCAGTGGGGGCCAAGGCAGCCCCTTCAGTAGCCCTTTCTACAACTTCAGCATGGTCAACAGCCTCATCTACCCCCGGGAGGGCTCTGAGGTGTAGACAGTGCTTCTCAGACTTTCCTCTGCACACCTGAGATCTGGTTAGAATGCAGATTCCAAGTCACTGAGTCCAAGGTAGGACCTGAGGTTCTGCATTTTTGTTGAGGTCCTGGTGGTCTTGTAGTCTGTTGACCATACTTGGAGTAACAAGGGTGTAGTAGGTAAGTCTGCAACCCAGAAAGCTTTTACAGGTTTCTCAGGATATAGGCCTCTCTCGAGAGAAATCCATCTCATTCTGTTCTGGGATAGGTAGCCTGTGAGCTCTGTGAGGGCAGGGACCCTGTCTGTTTTGTTATAACTGTATACTGGGGTCCCTAGCTCAAATGTGTACAGGCAGCTAAAAAAAGACAGTGAAGATATTGAGTGGGAAAACTAACAACAGTTGGCAACTGAAGCAGTAGGGAGTGGTCGGGACTGACCAGCTGAAGGCTGCTGTGAGCAGCTGGTTATCTCCTGCATGGCAGCATTCTGATTTTTCTAGAAAAGCCAGCTATCTGGATTTTTATAGAAAACCTCCAACTTTGTGTCTTTTGCCTTTAAAATTTTTAATCATACTGTACTAGAAAACATCACAAATCTTTGAGCTATATCCAGCTCACAAGTCACCTCTGCTCATATACTCTTTATGTGGTAGATACTAATAGCAATAAAACTACAAGCTGCCTTGTTTGCCAGGCACCATTCTAGACACTTGACAAGTGTTAACTCGTACCACCCCTAGTTTTCCGTATGAGAGAAGTGAAACTCCAAGATATTAAGTAACTTGCCCCAGGTTACACAGATTGTAAATTGTAGAGCCAGGATCTGATCCAGGCAGTCTGGCTCCAGAGCTGTTGCTTGCGACTTCTGTGTTCCAGTTCCTGAGAAACAGAAAGAAGTCAGCTTCCATAGGCAGACATAAGTATATAGGTGGTAGGAATAGAGCTGGATCTCATTTGACCAAAGATCCTGGTTGAAATAAGTCATTTGTCATTTGAGATCTTCCCCGAGCAGCAAAGGTAGACACCACCTGTCTTACTCCTGCCATAGGCCAAGGTCTGGGGGACGTTGTCCTAGTTTATGATGTTTAGCCGGGTATCCTATCCCGTTTAGCTTATGTCCTGGATATTTCATTTTCTAACAAAGTATTAGAATTTTATTAAAAATAGTTTTTAGGTGCTGATAACACCAAGATCAAGGGTTTAGATCCCAGTACTGGCCAGCTGCCAAAAAGAAAGTC